TGCCCTTACGACATGATCATTAGCAACATTATATGAAAAATTAATTTGAATAATTTGGTTTCTCGAATTTGTTCAATAATTTGTTGAATTAACTCCTTTCTGATTAATAATGAACATATTAGTTCGAAAAAATGTTTTTGAACATGTTCCGCATCGATATTTCAATAATTGCTCGATCCCGGGATTGAAAAATCGTCGGGATTTTGCAAACCCTAGTTGCAACTCGTCTGTATCATCCACAACACTACTCTGTCGCAATTTTCCAGTTTCGAGCAGGATACTACCCTACTGATAATTCGATATAAATGGAATTTTGAGGAATTCTTCATCTCATTTTCCACTTATCCTTTCCCGAGTGAGCAAGGGGGGGCTTTGAGCTCCTTGGTATTCATTTTGCCAGTGTTCTTTATGGAAATAAAAGGATTACACTGAAATGAAGTTTGGCCACTTCCGCAAAACGTGAATGTGATAAAACGAAAACAACGATCAAGTTTTTAAACTTCAAACCTTGAATTTTTTTGATATTACAAATGATTTAATACAATGATGTCAGCAATTACAACGATACAATAAGAAACAAGACAAACGATAATAATGGTAACATCGTTAATAATACACTAACGATAAAAACAACAACTATCATAAACAAAAGAAATAACGAAACGATTTATTTAGTCACAAACAAAAAACTGCTGATTGATATAAGTCAACTGAGATTGCACAAAACGGAAGAAGAGGATTTGGCCTTAAGACAAATACCACAAGTAAGACGAGCATTATGGATTAAGAAAAACGAATCTGAATACAATACTGTGCTTGTGATATTATTATTAGGTCTATGCATAAATTGACACCAGTTTATATGCAGCACAACTCAACTTTAGCCCCGCTTTTCGTTCCAAACAACAACAAGTCGACTTACTATTAGTAAATCACTTCTAATAGGATGCCCATTTATACCAATCGCACAAAATATTGGCTTCAGGCTAATGAGAATGCTGCAAAAATAATCTTCCACGAGTTTCTATTACGAGCTATTTTCTGCGTAAATACACCCGACGACCCTCTCGAAATGCGACTTCTTACAGATGGATATGGAGAATTGAGCGAATAAGAGAGGGTTAAAATTCTTTATTTTTCTTCAGAGTCGACACACAAAGTGCGGCCCAGTGCTATCGTGCATAGATCTACCTATCCAATAGACACGTTAATAAATTCAAAATCGATTCGAATTACAGTGAATCTGATGTGGAAACGATTATTCATAGAGCACTTAGCAATATTATCGCAACAGTTGTAAAGGAGTCAATACATTTGATAATAATCCAATAAATGCGACAAATCCACTTTCAACTGATACAAATTTTACAAAAGACAACTTTTTCTCATTGAGTGTACCGTTCTCATTACTGTAAGTGATTACAGATAGATCCGCGATGCTTTCTGACATCGATTTTTATGTGATACAATAACATTTGAACACGCAATTATTTTTTTGGTAATAAAGTATCATCCAAAATTTATCACTTTACTGGATGACGATCAACACAAATGACTGAATTGAAAAGGAACATGAAATGTGATTGTGAAACCAATTCAAAGAAGACATTTTGAATGGTGAATTCAAAACTCAACAGCGACGCTTCGAAGCTGAACGGAGATAGATGCACTTCGCACCATAAGCTAGTTCAAAAACTAGATAAGCTTAATGACATACATGCTGTCCGAAAATTGGTAGATGATGAAAAGAATAAAATTTCCCACATGAATCGATGAACGAACGATCCGACGACAGCTCAAAATCAAGAAGATACAAGTGTGCAACAAGCCAAAATTCTACCTAATATTGCACTAGTAGCAAGACTTGTTTGGAAAAAAACAGTTGACCTTTTAGCGTGGGCCGCTTGGATTTGGTAAATGGTAGTGTTTTGTAAAGCTCATTCGTATAAATAAGGGTAAGGTACAGAATACGAATGAGAATTGAAGTTAAGGTTATGATAGCGTAACGAATGGATGGCGTGCATAACTACAAGTACAATCATCATCAAGGATTGAAGAATGTGCACCAATCAAAAACAAACAGTTTAAATCGATTCTAGCAGCGCGAAAACATAACAAAATGAACATAAAAAAGAACGAACATTCTAAAAATACCATCTTATAACAAATCGAAAATATTTTCATACACAATAACGAGATAAATTCACAGACAAATGGACACAGATAAACATTAACGCAAAACTGCTCTACATTCCGATGCAAATTTCTTAACTGGAGCAATAGTTCCCAAAAAGAAAGCGTTTGAAGCTTCATGAACAATCGACAATAAATAAATAGTAATAATGAAAGTAATAGTAACAATCAAAAATAAATAAATGAATAAGCAAAGTAAACATTTCTAAAAGAATCTTTATGGAACACAATTTTGGAAAGTACCGGCTTTCGGTTATCTCCCGATTATGCGGAACATTTCGCTTTGACACTGACTGTCTCCCAAAAAACATCAGAAACCAGCCAAAGAATTTTCGATATACATCTTCCAAAAGCTATTCCCGTCTACGGCACTGCACAAATGCTTACTGTTTATTTGCGATTATAGCGATAGTGATACTCCACAACAAATAGATCGATAATTCATTTTGTATGAACTTATTCCTGTTTGTCTAAATGATCTGGTTCCAATTTTCGATGAAAAGCATCAGCTGCACGCAGTAAACCAATCGCTAACAACAACTAAATTGAAACCAAATTTCTGAGCAATGATTCAATTTGCAGTAGCAAATATTCTTTTTTTTCGATTTTTCTCGGTAGATTTATCCACTTTTCCTGTCAATTTTTATTCTTCTTGAACTATTCACAATCTCCTTTCGTTAAATGCGAACTGAACCGCAACTCATAATTCCTTTCCATTGGCTAAGAGGTAGAAGAAAATTGCTAACAATATAAGCAATCATTATTCAAAGGAAACCTTTCAAGTTATTTTCAAATGATGATCCTTCGTTTATGATAGCCGCACATAAAGTGCAGAATAGATGAGTGGATTCTGCGATGTATCTATCGCAATAAAGGCGAAATTTCTCGAAGATGACTTAAAACATTCCCTCCAGATAATCTGGGAATATGATAATTTCAACAATCATTCAAAAAACAGTTACCGTTGCTAATAACCCATGAAATTTATATACCCTTCATTACTTCGTTAATCTCAGTAGTCTATGACAAAACAGACAGCTGCAACTGAGCAAGGATGCGAATGTTATGAATGAATGAGGGAGAAAAAAGGATACAAAGCAAAGGAGTTGTTAATGTTGCTGATTAAATGATACCCGCACAACCAATAGCTGATATGCACCTCACGAGCGCTTAAAAAACCTATACGGACGAATAATTCAAAATATCACACCGCCACGATCACTTTTGCAATTTTATCTCTTTCCTTCGAATTGTTCAACCTAATTTCATTCTAAACCCATCCAATTTTGCATATACTCATACAATGACATAAAGTGAGTTGATTATACTCGTGACACGATTCGACTTCGGAAATGAATGGAAATTTTAAAAAAGGATAATTTGATGGAAACTGCTTCAAGGGTTAACCAGGGGAAAGCAAACTATTTCGTTGGCTGGATTCGTGATAAAATTACGTTCAAACTAACTGTATTAGTTGCCACTTTCATTCGTGTGACCTTTAGGAAGTGACTGATCTCAAATGAGCATTTTCAAATCCAATATAATCATAACAATCTAAACCGAGGACTCAATACACGAACAAAAAACAGAGTGAATGAACGAATAAATTAAAATAAATACATAAACCTGTGTCGATTTTCTGAGATCAGAACTGGTCGAGAATCAGTGAGCGTATCATACAGTTGGTTTTTTCATTCTTCACTTGTTTTCATTTTACGCAAATTATAAAAACGATTACATGCAGTTATATATTTCTGCATTGCAGCACGACACTCACTTCTCTGACGTTCATTTTTTGGTTCGTCTGACTGATAATCGCAATAATATTTATCATACACATCGTATAACTGCAATAAAAGTTGGCTAATATCACTCATAAATTCCCTCATAAATCAAGAAAGGAAGGATGTGTTCAAATCAAATTGCTTGGCAGTGATTATCATCTATAAGCAGATCTGACGGCGCCTTTTCTTGATAATACAAAACTGAACAACTGAAGGTCATTAAGTGTCTCGGTAATATGAGAACAATTGCAATAAAAAATATATAAAATAGGAACCTCTCTAGACGCTTTATTGAGAGCAGCTTCGCGTTTGTCCCGAATAAATTTTGCTAAAAGTCGATTCCAAACCTTTCCTATCAAATTTCTGTATTCTTGCTCATGTTCACATAGCTCTTTCTGGCACTTTTTCAACGCCAACGACACCTCATCCTGCACAAAATAATCCCTTTCTACCTCATCATTTCGAATTGTTTCAACATCTCACTTCATATTTATTTTTTCATTTGTCTATCATTCTAATATCTCCTATTATTGACGAGCTAATAACTGCAACAAATATTTACTAAAAATCTGAGCATATTCATTTTCGGTATACTCGCATAAATAGGATAATTAACTGGGAAGGTATCTATTCACCTGATCATATTCTTCGACAGCATTATTGATGGAAATCTCCTCTTCCGAATCAGATGATTCACTACTTCCTTGCTTCCGACTGAATTCTACAAATACAGAATACCTTATGATCAAATAAGAGATATATTTACGTAAAATGAATAGTCGTTATAATATCATGAATATTGTTTCAAACAAGAAATACATTACGTTCCTCACAATTCAATCAAATGAAAGAAAAGGAATAGCACAAAATCGGATCAGTAAAAAACAAACAAACCACTCTTTCCGAGGTGTTTTTTGAGTGCATATCCGAGTTTGGCTAGCGTATGTGCACATTCAGCAATACCAACACCGTTCGTGCTCGTTTCAGAAGTGCCGTTCACCAACATCTCTTCAGTTCCATAATCATCCTCGGCCTCTTTTTTGACTCTTTTTAAGCTTTCCATCACAATTTTACTATTCCCATTCAATACTGAATCTTTCCCTGCAGTGTCATAGTGCATTAGCTTACTTAATATTGTATTGCACGTGTTTTGTCACCGTTCAAAATCATCCAGGAATATTTGTCACACGCACTGATGTTCAGACCTCGGAGCCAAAAAATTTTTTGTCTCCCTCAAAAAAGTCACAACATCATTCAGCAGCAAGAGGTAACGGAGGCATTATAATTTTTGTTCGGTATCCGGATTGTTTTGGAACCGTAGCGGAGCGAAGGAAATTCCGCGGTTGAGGTCAGAGTCAAAACTTGAAAAAACTGGGAGCTGGAATTTATAAAATTTCGACAACAATATTTACAGTCACGAAAATAAAATAAACAATGACGATCGTACAAAGCCAACTCAAAATATTCTCACTTGTCATCATTTTACGCTTTTCACCGACATCGAGGACACCGTTTTGAAAGGAATGATGATCGATTGCTTGTTCATCAAAATATGCTTTCACAAGGTCATCCATTAGTGGCAAAACTTTTGGAGATGTAACTGATGACAATCTGGAATGGAATGATAAAAAAGGTAGACGTTACATAATTTGTGCAAATAAACAAACAACGCATCAATTTTTGCGCAGATATCACGGCGACTAAACTTAAAATGTGATCGATTCTGTAGTGACTTACGAAATAGTACCAAAAAATTGCGAGAAAAATAACAGACTTACCGAGATCTTTTATTTGGTGATACCAGATTTCTATTATGGTCTATACTAGATAATCTTTTAAGTGACACAGATGTTTGAGATGTTGGCATTGTTTGACTTTTAATTATATTTGGATATCTGTAAATACTTGAAGACATTAGCCTCAACTAGTTCCAAAGAAAGGACACAGAAGAATGAAGAAAATGATAAACGGAACACTGAAACATCAATTGAAATCAGACCTCATTTCGTATTGCATTTCTTGAGAATATTTTGCATTCAGTGACGTTTTACGTACACGTGATCCAATTAAATGAACACTTTTTACTTTTTTACCACTTCCTAAATAGCGAATTCATTTAACCTTGACAACAAATAATATCTAATAAAAAAGACCCACAACAATACCACGAACAACTAAAGTGCTGAAAAGAATCGTTTCATGATTTAGGCATTCACTGCCTATTACCCAAGGATGCTCCACCTCTAGTCAAATTTATAATACTAGTGAATTGTCTGATTTCCTTTAACAATGATCCGCATTACAGTGGATGGCGAACTCTCTCCTGAATGCTAATTCACTGTCTTCTATCAAGTTACATTTCAATGTAAGCTCTTCTTGATTAGAATCCTCCCAGATGTAGTTATATTGAGCTTAAGCTTAAAAATCGATTACAAGAAAACCAACCCATCTCATGGAGTTTTGCCATGTTTTCAGGCATAAAGCGATCCATAATTTCATGTTTCCAGCTCACAATAAAGTCCTCATCGATTGGATCGATATACTGCCTTAACCAAACCCACAGCTTGCGAGGTAAATCCAACGGAGGCCAACCAAAATCATCACCACTGTTAACGCTCTCTTGTTCGAATTCTTCATCAAAAACCCTTCAATAGAAGATTATCTATCAACATATGCTCTAACAGATGGAATATTTCAATTTCTTACGCATCAGACGGTTGAACTAAGTTTCAGAAATGTAACGATTAGAATTTTTCGATATATTTTGAGAGAAAAATAAAAAATGAAACGAGATAGTAGCAACGAAAGGAATATGGAACGAACGATTTATCAGTGCGTTCTCTACGTTGACTAGCACTTGCCACTTTATGATCGAGAAGTTGAACCTTAGGCATGAGTCGATTTGAAATATCATCTGCTGGGTATTCTCCTGTAGTTTGGAACTGCAACTCACCAGCAAGTTTCCTCTGATGATCGATGTTATGAACCAGCATCTTATCCAATTCTTCTTGTAATTGCATCTGAACAATTGTACTACAAAAAAAGACGAAAAACGAAATATTTTAATCGCAAAACAAATAACCATAGTAAATGAATCTAAATTTGAGTTTGAATCCAACAACTAAAAGTCTTTAACAACAATTTTTTAAAAGAGTTTCGCACAATGAAAAGAAACATGCGACGAAGTTTGTTTGTGGTTTAGAACAGGTTCAGAATACAAATTTATGTCGCAATAAGCTATCTGTGATTCCTTCGCATTCAGCTAAATGTTACAAATTATGCTGACGCTATGAACCTTCAACACAAATACTATCCAAGTTTGCATTCATGGGGAATCTGGTAGTTGACAAGGTTATGGAAAAATATCAAAGAAAAGGCGCATCATAGCCAATCCTTCGATGCGTACGATTAGATGTGATTGCTAACCAACTTAACGGCTAATGAAAATTCAGGGAAAATGAAAACGACATAATCAATAGCCTTGCGTTTTAACGACTCCCCGTTTAGTAACCATATTGATTAAATGATTGTTAAGATAAGAATCGGCGAATTTCACAGACTAACTTCGGAGATTGTAACAGAAAATAGCGACAATGAAAATGACTGTAGAATTTTTCAAGCACATTATGACAAACAAACCGTATTGTCGCATAAACGACGAAGACCTTCTCCTTGCGTAACTTCATCCAGCCAAGTTTTGAATGGATACAGATCGTATGTGGCAAAGTCCGGTCTTACAGAGATTGCCATATCACCACCACAAGCACCACGACGTGTATGTAACGGTGAGAGAGCACCTAAATCAACAGAGCTCAAAATATTGTTTTCAATGGATCATTCTATTCCACTGATTTTTGGTCGGTCAGTGTTGCCATTACGCAACAAACTTTTACAGGTAGCCAGATACAGATAGGTCAAAATACTCAAATAGGTTACCATGAGCCTGTGGACTGACTCAAGAAATTTGCTGACGAGATGTGGTATTTCATATATGTGAAGTGAAATATCTCATCATAATACATCAAATTTCTCATCAAGGAATATAAATTTATCTTTTTTTTAAATCATACATCATTATGATGAGAGATGACTATGATTCTTGCTGAGAGCTTCAACCGGAAAACTGTACACTAAAAACTGAAAACTGAAGCACGAATGCAAAGAAATGTACCATTGAGACGAGGCACCATTGACTTGTCATCAGTAGGCGAGACTTGTGCCCTTGGCATCGTTGATAGCATCAACGTTGTCTATCTACAACTGAATCATTACGTAAGAACCTTGGATAACATATGACGGGAGTAGATTTTATTCCTCATCTGTCATATAACTAAGTCAAAATCAATACTCAGACGAAAAATATACGATGCTTCTAACAGGTTTTTTTCCAAAATTCAAAATTGAGACATCTTACCTCCTACTTCAGAAACTCCTTCTCCTTTAGTGTTTGCTCTCCAGTGATGACCACTCTGAAAGAATTGAAGCGATGAAATTTTTATGGAAGACAGTATGCGATAGTAATACGCAAACTTGTGCAAAGTAATTACGCAATGAAAGATACCACTGCAGTTGATATCACATATGAAAACAGACGGAAATATTCTCTCGATCGTTAAGCAGAATTAAAACAATGAGCCTTCATCCTGTAGAACTAAATGTCCGACTTTCACAGGACGCAGATAACTATGACTAACAAAAAAATTGTAAAACTCGACTGCACTTGAAGTAAGAATGTCTCTCGTGACCTTCTTCCATGTACTCAGTGCACACAAACACTGAATGATGAAAATTGAAATAATGAAGGAAATTCTAGCGCGATTCAACTTTCACACGTAAATTTTACGAAAAAAAAAGAACGAGTAATCCCTTGAGAATGAAAACTCAACTTTCTACGATTTCATACAAGTAAATTAAATCTCATTACATCGCTTATACAGCAGCTGATTTGAGCTGATGAATGGATGAGAGCCAAACTGAAGCGTTTATCAAAACGCTATTTTCGTTGTGAAAGTCAAGACGTGAATATCATTTTTGGTGTCACTGAAACTTGGTCTTCGTTTCTCTCCGACCGTTCAATTACGTTTTGTTTCGGTGGGCGGCACCGAAAATCAAGATTGCTCGATTTCGTTCAATGGGCTCTGAAAATCGTTTTTTTTTCGGATCCAGCACAGCGACGGAGGTTTGCTGTTTGCATGTATCGTCATTTTTAAATTCGTCATTGTACGGATTTTAATATTCGAAAACCATCACGTACAAACTGCATAGAATCTACCCCATTAAGTGCACAAGATCTCCCAGAACTACTGACGACGAAAAGTCACGGAATCGAAGTTTACCGGTCAACTTAGAAACAAATGAAACAAAAATACGTTTAATTTCGATTTCTTCTCGTTGTTTCAGACATCGGAAATTTTATAAGGGTCTTGTTAGCATTCTCATGGATATTTTGCAATTGACTTTCACTCTGCGCAAACGGGAAAAGAAATAGGCATGATGTGAAAATGCGCCCGAAACCGTAACACAATATAGCCGTTGATTTACCCCAATCAAATTCATTTCCACTGCATGAATTGGGTTAATGTCATATTCACACATCATCATCTTTGATAGATTAGCCGCTCCAGAGGGGATGGGTCTATCGTTACGCCTTAGTGTCACACAAGCCCGAGTTTTTAAACACAGCTTAAAATTTTCATTGAATAATTTCAAATTTTCCTTGTATACTTGTCGCAATTTTTGCGCTATATTTTCCGAATATATATTTTTTAAAATATGAATAATTTTACATTTTTTTATAATTTTAACTATTTCTACAGTCCTAGCGCACGAAAATATGCTATCTGACTTAGAAAACTACTCATGAGGAAGTCCGCTCCAAAAAAACTTGGTTTGAAAGGTAGGAGGGTCAACTTTTTTTCTGTGGTGCGACATAGTGGGTGTTGTGATGGGTGCGAGGACATTGTAAGTATTGTTATAGGGGGTGCGAGGACAACTTAAAATTTTTTAGAGGGTGCGAAGGGGAGAAAAGGTTGAGAACCACCGGGCTAACAGATCCAAGTGAGGAAAATTATTTTACAAGGCAATCCAATAAACGAGATATGTGTCATCTACATGAGGCATTCCATTGAGACATCCTTCGACTTCAATATCTTTTTCTTCAATGCCCCAGGTTCCGATTCCCTAAACAGATCTTCGGTTGCGGCAGCTTCATCAACCGTATTCCAGACTAACAATTTTTTTCATTGTTGCAACCGCCTGCTGTTCGCAAAGAATCAGACAGACAAATTCGATTACATCATCTTCTGCAGGGAAAAAATTTTTTAGAAGTTCACCTTCGTCCAGTTTCTCTAATTTCTAATGAAACTGGACCTACTGTTGATATGGAGAAAGCAAAAAAGTGAAATATCTTCATCTCCTAAAACTTAACAAAACCAACGTTTTCAAGAGGGTCTTCTTCACATCCATATCCTTCATTAAAGATTGCCGAAGCAAATGTCAATTATTTGTGAAAGGATGCGGCAAGTTCAACCTACTATGTCGAGTTGAAAGTTTCAACTGGTTCCTATTTTTGATTCATTGATTAGAAATGACAGTCGTGAGGTATCGAGGAATGAGAACAACCGAACATGAAGAATGTACCACGGGATCTTAGAGCAAACACCCGTATAATTCTGAATAACGTTATCATTTCATATATTACTCAAGTTGGAATGAAGGGAAAAAACAGATAGGAACATTTCACATACTGTTTGAGTTTTTCAGTTTTTAGTTAGCATTGGCAATAATAGCAAAAGATGCAAAGGTTGATGCAAAAGTTCTACAAACACTGAACGCAATTTCGCAATAAAACTCGCCATTATGTATAAAGTTCCGAATTATTTCGATTCATTCCAGATTTCGATATGGAATTATTTCGGTATCGAATTGAAAAAATTTTCATATTTCGAATTTCATTTTTGAAAACATACTGATCAAATTTCGAATCATAAATTGAGGGCGAAACACCTTTCATTACACCTTTCACCAGGTAATGTTTATTCATCCGTAGGCGACAACTCAATTTTATTTTCCTTGAATATATGACACTCCCTTGATGGTTTCGAGATGATTCGATCGTAGGCCAACAAGCACCTCTTCTGCTGAATGAGACCCGCACCTTTGAAGTAACACTACAAGAGGCTTCCTTTTTGACGATCAAACACAACATTGATCGAGTAATTCAAGATAAATGATAAACTGGAAGGAGATAAGGAGATATCAAATGAAAACGGTTTGGTATGTGCTAAATTCAAAAGTACATGTCATAAATGTGAGTTAGCAGGAATGCATCCAAATTAATTATTTGTTGGAGTTTTTTGGAGTTAACGGCAGTGAAAGCTTGATGATAAGAATAATAGCAATAATAAAATTCAATTTGAGAATAATGATAAAACCGGAAATTACTATAAAAATAGAGGAATTAGGAGCAAATCGACGGGTGTAGGGTCATAAAACATAGGACAGATGCATCTCAGATAGGTCAAGAATAGGGATGTTTCTATTCCATTTGAAATGTTCTGTTTCTGTTTTCTAGATTCCGGAATTCGGTAATCTGTCATGACGAAATCACTTCATCATAAAAGATTTAATCCTAACGTGTTGTTTTTTGATGCCCAAGATGGCATTTTGCTCGCTTCCGTTAAACGTCATCATTTATCACTTTCAATGTTGGTTCCGTACCTTAATACTCAAAAAGAATCTTTCAATCTACTGTACCGTTTTTCATTCTTCTTTCCTCATCCAAATATTGTGTGGTAATTTCAAGATATTATGAACGGAGACATCTGAATACTAAGTCAAAATCAAAATTTGTCATTTAGAGTGTCAAGAATATAATGTAAGTGCAGGATTGACGCCATTCTATATGCAGAACGGCATTAGTGTTTTAAAGTGCAGATGAGTACCAACCTTTGATGCGGTTCAGTCGTATCCGATTAGAATATGAACTTGTCTTAAGTTTAGGCTTAAAATTAGGCTGAATCTTGCACTTAGTTTTAGGCTTAAAAGGGGCTAAAGAAATGTTTGGTTCTGTTTCTCTGCTTATACATTGTCATGTTCAAACCAGCTGTACGCTCAGACTGACCACTAAGGTATTGGTTTTATATAATATTTTGGTCAGTGATATTCCTACTTTGTTCTTGTTCTGTTCTACCAGACTAGAACAGAATGATTATGCGTCATCGATCGCACCGATAAAATACTAATACTATTTGACAAAATTCAAATGAACAACAACATGAATTGCGTGTAGCAGTTTCCCTAAATTTCCTGAGCAAAAACACTTTCCGAATCCTCTGATTAACATTCGATGCTAATCTGAAAGATACAATTGCGAAAAAGTTATTTATTGAGGGTTAACAGATAGCATTGTGGGATTTGAAACTGCATATTTTAAAGGAAATTAAATTCATCTAACACAGTAGCATTCGTCTTTTTTTGAAATTTGTAACGGAGATGATGTACGAACAATGTACAACGTTACTCATTAATGAGAATGATTTGCCGAAATTATGTTCGAATGCTTAATGCTGCATATAGCAGCATTTTATGACTACCATCCTTATGTTAGCATTACGCTTTACGATGGGCCATTTTGTTTACTTATAGTTTACGTTTGTTATATGCCGGTTTCGATTCATGATATTTGCGATTTACCGAGGGAATTTTTTGGACATTAACAGATCTTTAATATCACAGCATCATATTTCTTTCAAATACAGTTTCATTTATTACCATAACGACCAGTGACGCAGATCCGGAATCATTCATAGCCACAATTCGACAAGTGTCAAAAGGCATTATTCACTTGGAGTGAGTCGAATACGCCCGAAACCAAAAGGTCATTTTCAGGATGGCTCGTATAGCGTAAATGGGTCTCGTAGCGCTGGATCGGATCCTTTGTTTCGAAGTTTCATCGTAAAATCAGAATATTGTTCAGAAACTTATTTCCCATTTTGTAGTACACCTAAAAAGTTTTCTAAATTCGCAGCACGAAGAAGAATGAGCTCTATTCGTCCTTCTCAAACCGAATAACTATTTTGTGTTCATCATTCTCGTCTTGTTCCAATATTCCATTTTTCTGTTCATTTGCTCGTTCATTCAATTCACAACCAGTACCACGTTTTCTTAGCTCATTTCGTACGCAATTGAAATTAGAATTGAGATCAGCTGTTTAACTAACTTCTCCATTCATTCATTATTA